ATATATAAATCATCAAAGAAAGGTAAATACAGTGTTCGAATAAAGGACTTTTATTCGAACACTGTATTTACCTTTCTTTGATGATTTATATATGATTTACAGTGTTAACGGCTACCTTGATTTATATTATATATATATATACAAACATACTTTTTTGAAATTTTATCTAGTCATATATCATCAAAATGATGTGTCTAATAAATTGGCGGGAAAATATTAGGGGGCGGGTATACTCGTCGATGGCACTGTGATAGAACTTTTTGCTGATTATGCCAAGTGCGAGTTATCTCATTCTCTTTTTGCATGGGTTGGTATATGTTCAAAGGGCGCCCCCACTTGTACCGCTAGAGTGTACTACCGGCAACATAACACAACAAACATACATATGTCATTTGTACGTTATCGTCTAGGTGTATCTTCCCCGAACTACCAGCTGTTGAGTCTGTGGTCGTACATTGTATAATAAAGAAGTTATAAATGCTAGAATGAGTATACTCGTTCCTGGCGCCCTCAGCAACACCCTGTGGGCGAGTATACTCGTCGCTGACAGCCAACGTGTTAACCATTGCCATTCTTTTAAGACACAATATTTTTATATCTAATCTGTTGGTAATTAATTTGTTAAAAATATACCAGCATACATTTTTTATCATTTTTATTAAATCTCATCCAAAACAGTGAGAGATTGACACTGCCATTTTTATTTCTCATTTATTTCACTCACTTGGGGATGCATATGTGTGAACAAAAACGTGTTAAAAAGGTGGTTTTTTTTTCTTCCCCCGTAAGCAGGCGTATTGCGTGTTAACATATGTTGCAGGTTTAGGATATGAGACTCCTCCAAACTCCAAAATAGGGTGTAAGTTTGAGGAAATGTTTTGAATACTGATACCATGACTTTACAACTGAGTAGGATTCTGTGCTCATTCTCCTTCACTGTCACAGACTATTGATTCAACCTCATGTTCAGGTTTACTTTCTACTCCGAATATACTTGTTTAGGGGTAATATTTGGGGTATTTTGTCTGTACTGCATTACATAACATGTTAGGATTCTGAGTTGCCACCCCCACCCTGGGAAATCAACGTCAAAGTAAGATCTTCTTGGTTATGCTATTATTTAATACTTTATATAAATTCATCTACATTTATTATTATATATACAGACCAATTACCATTAAAATGATTCGATTTGATGCATAACTTGAGTGGGTATGTTGTATCAATTATATTATGCCTGAAAGTTCAATCAGGTCTGATATACAATTACATATAAAATATTGCTCACTAGATCTCTTTTTGACTGGGTAGCCAAGCTAGAGCTATTGCTATATGGTAGTAATGCCATAGCCCACAGCAACTATTTGCTGATGGAGCATTTTGAGGAAATTCGAACCCTGATTACTGTTGCCTGTCACCTCTATTGTCTATTTTTGCTCTGTAAAAGCATACCAGTAGGAATTTAACTGAAAAAAACTAGTATAAATTATATATTTTACCATCTAAAATCAGACTTCATACCTTTTTCTTGGTATAAACTGTATATGACTTCAGAGAGTAGCCCACATTTTGCTACATAAAATCAAAATCTCCCAAAAGCCTAAAGTAAAATCCACGCTACAGAGGATTTCCTGCTACCACATGTGCAGTACAGTCTGTTGCTTATTATAGAAGACCGCATTGTTAAATCAAAAACTTTTATTTTACAAATACAGTACCGGCCAGCATGATAAAGGATGCTCAATTTTACTTCATACTACTGTACTACACCTATTGTGGCATATAAAATAATAAGTGGCGCTTTGAGAGTGATCATTAGGCCTATACTGTACCAGGACGCATTATTTGTTTTCCTATACATTTCCGGCAGAAATTATAGAGGACACTATTTAAGGTCATTTAGGTGAACTGATAACATGAATAATGCATGCCTGCTTGACACTTCTTCTCGCAAGTCGCGAAAGTGGTGTGCTGTTCGCAGCTTGTGGAATATGAAAGCATATGAAAGCTACGGTGTTGTTAGGGCATGGAGGAGTTAGTTTAGAAACTAAACTACTCCATGGTTAGGGTAGGCCAAAATCTCTTGGCAGTCGATCGAGAGGAAAGTGTATAGTTGTTACAGATTGAACCACCGTAACTGACTATTACTGTAATTACAATATTCCTATAGACCGAGAGCCCAGAAAATTTAATCATGTGAAAAGAGACAAAAGGTTTGATGGTCTGGTCATGATAGTATAGGGCCAAGATACAATATTCAGTATTGCTGCCAGGGCACATCCTGTACAAGCAGGCTGGGGGAAATGAAATAGGGGGTTAAATAATGCATTTAATCATGTGGAGAGAGACATGGATAAAAATAATTGGATATTACTCCCAGGTAGATACTTGCAATAATGTGATATGTGACAGCAACTTTTACCTGTACGTGACCCTAAACAGTAACATTAAAGGCCACGCCCAAATACATTTAATCATGTGAAGAGAGACACGGATGAATATTTTTTTATTGGAACTATTATACATTGGGGGTTACAAAAATACCAATGACAGCAATTTTATCCTGTACATAAGCCCAGACAGCAGCCCCAAGGGACCCACTGGGATCTTATATGGTAGCAACATGATAAAATCAAGCAAAGAGAGACATGAATGAAACCAACTAGGAATTATTACTCGTACATTGAAGAATGCCGACACACCGATGACAGCAATTTTTTCATGTACGTGACCTTAAACAGTAACATTAAAGGCCACGCCCAAATGACATTTAATCATGTGAAGAGGACACAGATAATTTTTTTTTCATTGGAACTATAATACAATGGGGGTTAATAAAATACCAATGACAGCAACTTTATCCTGTACATAAGCCCAGACAGCAGCTCTAGGTTCCCAAAAGGACTAATATTATTTATGGTATGATATGGTCGAATCTAATAATGATTAGAGATAGTAGAATGCAACTGAAACACCTGATCATGACACAGACAGTGTTTCTGGATATCAACTTCGTAATAAAACAGGAATTAAGTGAAGAATGGGACCATTTACACTGGAACTTTCAAACAACGGAAAGAGAATCCAATTGACAGCAAATATTTACTACTTTAGCTATAGATTTCCCTTTGATAATAAGATTTCGTTACACTGACTTCAGATGAAATACAACAATGCCAAAATACCAAAAATATGCCTGAGCAGTGTTTACGTTTGAAAGTATAAAAAGGCAGCGTTGAATTTGTGGTTGATTATTTGAGTAGTGTATTATATAGCAATAATTAACTGCTACACTACTGATTCTAAAGGATAAACGTTTAGAAATGCTCGGACACACAGGTACAATTCTATGTATTGTTTTAATGGTGACTTCATGCAAACATTTCGTTCATATTCTATATAAATAAAGGCATAGATTATATAGCAAGCAGGTATATTATAAACACTAATTTTTTGATATTCTATACACATGATATGACGTACTGTTTAGGCTGTGTCTACCCAATTAATTATTGAATAGCTAGTTATATTTAAAATGATCAAAATCAGATGGAAGTAAAAATAGCTTTCATTGATTTACAGACAGTTCTACACAAATCCTTAAATTTTACCAACCAATGAATCATGCCAAAGTATACAGAGATGCTCGCTGTCTGTTAATAGGCAGGGATTTTTTTTTCTCTTGTAAAATTGTAACTGTGTCCAAAGTACTAGTAATTTGTTTCCGAGCATTTCTAAACGTCCTTCAGAATCAGTACTACTAAGTAATAGGGAGCATATAAAATTGCTACAACACACACTGTATAAGCCTAACTTTAGGCCTAGGCCTACTTAAATACAGTGCCAGATTCAATATTAGCCTACTTTTATACTTTTGAAGACCATGCTGTAGGCCTACATAGAATGTGTCTAATCAGTACTACAATTTTTACACTGTCTTGACTACCAAGTCTTTTTTAAGATATTTTGGCCTAGTGACTCGAGTAGAATTCATCCACGCACAGAAATCAATACATCACTGACTCTGTTTCACGAGGGGGAGTCTGTATGCATATTCATGTATATCAGTTCTCCTAACTGACCTAAAATAGCACCCTCTATAATTTCTGCTGTAACTGTATGGGGAAAAAAATAATGCTACCAGGACCTATACTGAAAGAGTCAATAACCACCTCAGCCTCAACATGGAGGTGGTTCTATTTCAGCAGTAGGCCTACTGAATCTTCCAGTATCCCAAAAGTGCTGTTACATAGACCTTTATTTCTATCGCTTTTCAAAAGGAATTTATAATCATGGTAATTATTATACAAATATTGATGCTCATGAGGGGAATGGTGAAATCTATTGCCACGAGCCTACTATCTTCAGGCTACGGTCTCCACATTACCAAGGGGCTATAAGATTTAACCGTTTCCCGAATCTTGAGCAGTCAATATTTGTTTTATATACATAGATTCTACAAGGCCTAAAAAAGAAATGAAAAGAGTACCAACCAAGTAGGTCTAGGCCTTAAGCCTAGCCTACTTCCTGGCCTTGGCGGTCAATCTCTCTCTTCGTAAAGGTCACAGTCCCCTTTACTGCAGTGCGTGTCATAAATTACACAGTGACGTTTTAAGTATGGTCTGAGATTACAACGCGACAGGGCAAAAAAGTACTATTATTTAACATGACAGTACTTTTTTGCCAAAGAATTTATGAAATATCATTAAAACCTACATCATAGGAGTGATCGTTGAAGTTATTACTAGCTTTTTAACCAATCAGATGCCTGGAATCTATGTATGCGTTATATAATAATTATTATACAACTTACCATACTTACAAATAAATTAAAAAATAAAAAATATATCACATACCTCTTCATTCATCACAATGTTCTGTCTAATGATCCGTTTGTGAGAATCAATTTGGCGATTATTAATATTATTATCGTGATTGTATAATGTCAGAATTCCGATTACAAGCAACCAGAAGAGTTCATATCCGTAAAGAAGAAGTTCAATGACAGCTTCAATAATGGACAGCACGAGATAGCCACCCATTGATGCTAACACAACATCAAAATATACTGGCAGAATAGAGTTGCTTACAAAAGCACTCACAAATAAATATATTGAATGGCGTTTCAGTCTTTTGGAGAATTCACAAAATAGAGGCTCTTTTGTTGTCTTTTATTTAATGGTAGAAAATAGAAATTATGGTAAACTATTACAAAACTTGAAGCTCAAACCATGGTTGTAACCAAAAAAGTGCATTAACTTGAGCATTGTCCTTTACTAACGTGATATATATTTTGGCACAGAAATAGTGTATTGTGCTTCAGAACCACATTTAATCCTTGATTCAGATTTCAATCAATTTTAAATTTCAAATAATGATAATCAATAAGTATCTCCAAACAATAGTGATCAATAAGCAGTGTGTATCAATCCATATCTTTGATTAATCAGCTATCAATAAGTATCAATTCTAATCAATGATGATCAATCTGCTACCAATGACAAAAATTACCAAAGTATTTTTTTCTGGAGTTTCTGAATAGTAATAAAAAACATGACGGGATCACCTCAAAGAAACAGTGTTGCATGAGATTATTCCTATTGCTCAAATGACAAATCAGTCAGTCAGTATGTCAATCAATCAATCAACCATTTAGTGATGTATGCTTCTCTAGATACCACAATCAATGTGACCGCAAAATAAAACATCGCATATCAAATATGGTAACATGTTTCTGTTCATGTATTACTGGTGGTTAATCCCACAAGTATTTAGCAGCCAGCATGATAACATGCTTCTCACAGTAAAGTTTAATAAGGTGATAACAGTTTACTGGTCTTTAATTCACTGAGGAATGTTACCAAAGGCTTTTAGCAGTTTTGTGGGACAGAGCCTCCGGCCTGCAGCAAAAATCTCTGTTAGATTGTCGACATCAACATTTTTAACTGTCAAAGTGTCTTGAACATAAAATCAAAATTTCGATGATGTAAGTACTGTACTCAACTTAACTCAAAAAAGAGACGAAGTGCATTATGAATATCTGATTATTCCAAATATAACTTATGTGAAAATTGACTATTATGCACTTAGGAAGAAGTAGAAAGTTGTTGTTCCGCACAATTAGTGTTTTAAAATAAAGTCTTTTTAATGGTTGGTATTTGGTGGATTTTCCAACGATAATAAAGTTTAGATGGTTTTTATCTCAAAATAGCTTTCTGTTTCTGTAAGCTTTTGCACAATTAACAAATGTGGTCACACAGTAAAGAAATACAAGGATTAATTTAGTTATTAAAACAAAGGACTGAAACTTAAAAATAAATACTTTGTTACTACCACATGGAATGTTTATTTAGATGCGAATGCTTCAAACTGATAAGTTTACTGTAGCTTCTGTACTTAAACACAATCTTCCAATTTTTCTAAATTTTGATCTGAATAGCTTAGTTTCTATAAATCTTGTAGATTACTTTAATTTTGTAACTCAGATTCTATACTTTTAATAAATAATTCCATAAATCAGAAATATCATCCTTCAAAAATGTTTATATCTTGGAACATATATCCAGACTGTGTAAGTTGACAATGAACTGAAAATGTAAATGGTACAGTACTCTCTTGGTAAGCCAAAAGGACTGCTCAATTTGACAATTACTTGTGAAAAATTACAGTGTGTTCCTGTAGTAATAGGTGACCCAGATACATCATAAAACTTGATGATAGTGCAATGAAGTAAGCACAGACAAAAATCAACCAAGTACAGTATAAATATTCCAATGAAACATCCATGAAAATAACTAGGTCTATTTGATTCACTACCCAACAAATAGAAGGTATGAATATAACAATTTTTTCACTTAGTCAATCAAAAGCCAGCTGTTTCATTTTCAAGCATTACACAAATATCGTATGAAGTCATATATACTGTACTTGTCGAAAAAGTCTTCAAAATCTTGAAATGTCAGTAAACAACTAATATGCATGTTAATACTGTATCACCAAGCTATCAAGATGATGTTCTTGTGTCTACTGTAAGTAGAAGTCAAGTAAATGATAACTTCCTTTCCAGTGAGAAAGATAAAACTTCTATCAAAACACCCACCAGCAGAAAACAGCTTCTGTAGGAAAAGTACCGATATCAAAAGCGAACAAAAAAAAATATATATAAAATAAATGCAAAACAACGTTTTTTAATTCCAGCAACAAATGGTTTATCATTTCACAAAGAAACAGTTTGTCCTCTTCTCTTGTTTAACAAGCAAGTTTTGAGCGCCTGGAGACCACTGGTGTTAGGTTTCTATCATTTAGCATTAGCCAATGGGCAATACACAGGGAATACAAACGATTCACATAGATTCAAATTCCTAACATTCTCTTCAGCATGCTGTATCATTATTTTAGAGATAATCATTGCCTGTAGGATGGAGCAGTAATGTTTGGAATCTGATGATAAGCCTGTCATGTGATTTAAGTCCAGTGGTGCAGAACATATTGATGGTGTTTGATTTACTCATCTTGAATTCCAATCAAATTGGCAGAACCAGTTCCAATATCACTCCAATATGACACACTTACTAGAGCATTGGTGCTTTATATCCTCTGCATAAAAAGACAATGTGCCTATATTCTATAAATTATATGCGACTGAAAAGAATTTTTTAGAAAAATGCATGCATTACTCGCCTATAAACCAAGGAAAAATATTGGCACAAATTTTAGTTTTACACAAAAGGGAAAAAAAAGAAAACATTTTTGTCGATGATTTCTTCGTTACTAGACAAATTCAGAGGTTGTAGCACATCCGCTGGAATGCTCTTATTTTTGTGTAGAGTATATTTTATACAGTCAATAGAGTGCGCCCTCTCTAATAATAAATTTAGTTTTTGTACTTCGCATCTCGCACACTGCGGTTGATCGAGTAGACCTGAGATGTTTGTTTAATTGTCAAAATCTCAGTAAGAATCATTTTTTTGTTAACAAATTTGAAATAATTCCAAAGAAATATTGTATTTCACAAGTATCAATACTAGCAACGGAAAATATCATGTTGACCGATTTTATGTCTGATAACAGAACCTAAATCAAGGTAAGGCTAGGCCTAGCCTGCCATGATGGATAGGCTAAAGTTTCCGGTGCCTACTATATTTCGTGTAAAAAATTCATCTGCTTTTATTTTTCGTTTTCCAGTCTCATTTTACATTTTTTCACGCTGCACCTTTAGGCTGTAACGATCAAGATGAAACAGTCATTAAGAAACTGTACTACGAAATGGGAATTCCGAACTAAGCAATGCGCATTCACAGTTACCAAATAACCTCCATGAATTACCTGTAAAACCACAGTGAGCATGCGCGTGGAAATGTTAGACAGCCAGTGTGAGCATGTGCATTGAGAAAGTGACGTTATTGAGCCATGTAGAGCATGCGCAGTTACCAAAAAGACGTCTCAGGAACCAAATAGCAGCTGCGAAGAGGGTATGATTACCAAAAAATCGTCTGAGGAACCAAACAGCGGCTGCGAAGAGGGTATGAAATAGAAACGGTTCGAACTTTATATGCAACAATTGAGCATGCACAATTCAGCTAAAGCGATCAGGTATGGATGGAAAATAATGAGAACTCGAGCGGATCGAAAAGCCTCTATTTTGGCTATCTTTACAGACATTTCAAAATTGTTCGTCAGAGGAAATTGTAATTAATTATTCCAAAAAAAGGTTTATTAGGCTCTATTGTCGTACCTACGTATGTATGCCTATGCATTGCCAATCCCAGAAAAAATAACCACAGAAACTGACGACACAACCTAGGGTCTACTACTAGTCAAGTAGTAGAGCCAGGGTATTCCACATTTATTGTGTTGAAAAATACGGTGCCGTACGCTGAAGAGGTTAGGGTTAACTATTATCAAGATACCGTACGGTAGCCATGCTTTATCGACCCATAAAAAATAGTCACACACTGGCAGCAGTAGTAGTAGAAGGGCCTAACCAAGCTAGTGGGGGAGGGGGATGAATACAAATAAATAAAATAATATTAAAAATAACATTATTATTATTATTAATAATAACAATAAATGGTAAAAATGCGGTTTGGCTCAGTGGTTTTCTTTCTGGTTGTTGAACTTATAGTCAGCAGAAGTACAAACCAAACTGAAACGATGTCCAAGTATATTCTCATGGCATATAGATTGTAGTTAAGTACTAAGCTTCTTAAAAAAACAAAACAGTAACAGACCCCATGGATAGCAAAATGATCAAGGGAAAACAACGTAAATCCGAGATGAGATCGATATTTATTGGGGAAGAGTGAAATATGGTGCAACACAGCAAGAGAGAAAGATTGATTTGGCATAGACATCCTGACATTTGTCCAGCAGTGGACCAACAGTAGCTGATGATGAAGCCTCTGAAGGTTATCAACATAATTAACTTACTGTACCATACATCCTGGCCAGTCAACAACAGTGAACAAAAATAATCTTAAATATAGAAATAAATAATAAAATTAATTAACCAAAATTAATGCCAAAATATTACAATGAAAATCCAAATGGAAGAATTGAATAGATGTTGCAGCATTTTTTTATAGGAAATATTTCTTGTTCATGTTTAGGATTGTCTAAATTGAGTTAAACAATAAATTTTGTATTATATTTATAAATCTTCATAACATATATTAAAATCAGATTTTTCTTAACTAAAATTTTGCCGCTAATGGGGCTTTAACTATATATTAGAACTGTCTGTGTTGAGCTAAAATAAAAACTTCAATCGACCCCTGTCGTGGACAGATGAAAGTGCGACGGTTTACTGGCTGTAGAGGACATGAAGTGACCCTCAGGGGAGGAGAAAGTTATTGAAATTGCAACTCCAGTCCTGAGCGCATAGAGACCTCGTTTATCTGCGCTATATAAATCCATCTATTAATATTATTATGAGGCTTAGTGAGTGGAGATGTTTGGTCGTGAGACCTTGACAAGAATTAAACCCAGGACGCTGTGATTTGGAAGACAAAAAATGGAAATTTGCTTAGAGGGGTGGGGGGGAAACAGAAAATGATAATTTGCTTGGAATCATGGCCGATGGGTGTATAAATTGCTTGAAGGGAGGACCAGACAATGAAAAATTCCTCAGGATCATGGCCGATGGGTGTATAAACAATGGAACTTTGCTTGGAGAGAGGACTAAGGGAGCCTTGCAAAATAAAGCAACACGTATACCCGTCTACAACGCATGGTTGGGGATTATAATCTCTTCGCGTTGCCGACGAGTGGTTCAAGATACTGATCAAAAATTTTGGACGATTCCATTTCGCGAATTAGGGTTCGTTTTCCGACGTTTTTGTTCTACTTGTTTGCGTCGGTTTATCTCGTGATTTTGATGTACTGTAATTTATCGACAAGTCTCTTTTCTATGTTTTGTCATAAGTTTCATTCATTATTATGAATTGGTTTTAATACTATATC